ACTGCACAGCAAACAGGCATGCAGTTCTCAGACAGTACTCAGCAATAACACCCCTGCTGAGCCTCTCCCCCAGCTCCAGTCTCACCACACTGGACATCAGAGCTCAGGTTTAGGAGAGACAGGCCACTGCTACCCATTGTTGAGTTGGAGACATACTACCTTTATCAGCCAGAACCAGCTTACTAGTTCACTCACTGTGTGACCTCGGCTGAGTTCCTTAACCTCTCTGGGCCTGATTCGCCTCATCTCCAAAATGGCAGAAATAGCTGCCCTATGGATGTGTCATCCAGTACCAATGAAATAACATCTATGAAAGTGCTTTGTAAACTTCACAGTGCTTTAGAAATAAAAAGCACTGTATTTATTTCCCAGTGTCTGGGCACATGTCTTTGACATCATCTCATGTTTAAATATCCGACATGCATCCTGGGAGATTCTAGAGAAGATGTGAGAGTGCTGGCAAGCCTCCTCTGCAGATATTCTCCGTCCTGAGCTAAAGGAGGTGGGAATCAGACTCAGACCTGGGGTGCTCAGAGCCAGGGACATCAGATTTTGCTCCATGCTTAAGCTCCAGACTAAATCATTCTAGAGAGGTGAAAACCAGTTCCCTCTAAACTGGGACCATCAGCTAAGAACGAGCTGGAAACTGCAGGACTGGGAGATGGGGGAGTGGCCTAACTGTTTTACACTGGCCAGTAGGGTTTCAGAGGATCTGGGGAAAGAGATGAAGGATAGAGAGTCCTTATTTTTCCTGCTGGAAATGGACCCTCAGAGCCTTCTTTCCTGGCTGTTCTGCTCATGTGGTGTGGTTTCAGGGAAGCCAGGCACTAAAGAAGGAAGAGAGTGGGTATCTGTGGACTGTCTATGGGCTAAGGGACTGAAGCTCTTCATCTCCAGATATGAGAGTTAAAGTCCCTTGCCTGATGTCAGATGTCTAGGAAGTGACAGTGCCAGGATTTGGATCTGAGTCTTCCAGGTGCCACAGTCTTTCTACTGTGCTCTGATGAGCTGGAGGCAAGGGGAGCAAGCCGAAGGAAGTGTCAGTCTCCGCCACACACAGTGTGGAGGACAGAGCTAGCATTCAGGAGAGGTGGTGGCAGAGATAGTGAACACTCTGGGCAATTTCTGGGGCAAGGAGGAAGGTCCTTGGTCTATGAGCTCGCCTTCGGCCCTAGAATATCCTGAATCCTCCTAGTATCCAAGGCCAGGAGTAAGAAATTGAGTTCCTCGGCAATGGACACGCAAATTTTATCTGCAGCTGGAGGGGTCTGGTGGGTCGTTATGGGCCTCTGATAGACTCATCTTATCTGCCCCCACTTCTGTGTGCTCCTAATGTGTTTTGGAGATGGTCACCTCCAGAGCAGTCTATGAGCATCTTGAGAAAGTGGTTCTCATTGCTTCAGAGTCCTTCCTGCTTGGTCCCTTGTGTATCTATTCACTACACTCTTAGCTCACTTGATGGATGAATTCCTGCCATCATGTTACAGATCAGACAGCAATTTCCCAAGAGGAGTCAGAAACATTCTGCCTAATGGCAGCTTGCTAGAATAAGGGCATGACCTCCCTCTGTGGGGCACCATGACAGAAACGGCCATTCTGTTGATTTAAAAAACTGATCAGTGCTAAGATTTTGGAGCCAGAGCTCCAGGGTGGGGCGGGCTGACAATAGACAGTTTTTATCTCATACATAAGAAAGTTCCATCTGTTTACAGATGCAAAAGGGCAATTTTCCATATAGCATTGCTCACTGATACCATGCTACCCTCTACATGGGTTATTGAGTTGCAAGTGAATCTGCCTCCCCTGTCAGAGGATGGGCTTCTGCAAGGAGGGCTGGTCTGCATTATTCACTAAGGCCGTGCTGGAGAAAGGGCTTGTCAGAGCCATGAACCCTTCAGGCCCCAGCACAGATTGGCAGGGCCACAAACCTGGGGGCCTTGAGCCCCAGAAATGTTCTGGAGATGATCACCTCCAGGACCCACCTTCAGAGAAGTCTATGAGCATCTTGAGAAAGTAGATTCCAGAGGGATCTACTGCCAAGATTAGAAGACATTGAATCTTTAAATACACATAGGTATATGTATATATATGGGGGGTATGCGTGTATATATAGATTTTTGAAATAGAGTCTCACATTTTCACCTTGGCTAAAGTACAGTGGTATCATCATAGCTCACTGCAATCTCCAACTCCTGGGCCCACGGGATCCTCTTGCCTCAGCCTCCTGAGTAGCTGGGACTACAGGCAAATCTACATCTTTTAAACAATGGGAATTTGGACATTGATGATCATGGCCATGGATAGCGACTTGTATTACTTGGGGACTTGGTGTTTCGGTGGCTGGGAGACAAAGCATCTCACATGACTCCAGGAAACATGCTGATGGATTTTCGGAGCTGGTATGAGGGGCATAATTCTGTTGTCCTTTTAGCTGTTAGTTAAATTCATGGTAAATATTCCTTTTGGTCCAGACTGAGAGGAGAGGCAGGTAGGGTGGTTGTACTCTTGCTTCTGCCTAGAAGCAATTTTCTCTCTTTTGGAAATGAAAATGAAAACCCAAATGCTAGCTGTTTCTGGAAAGACTGAACTGAGGAATAGGGGAAAAGCAGCCCTACCTCTTTGCCAACAGCAATTTTCAAGATCATGTTTATGATGGGGAGGGTGGCAGGTCTGTGAAGGAGATTCTAGTTCTTTCACCTTTATATAGTTATTAGCACCTGGAAAAAGATAGACCTTTCATCTCCTTTGCTTATTATTTGTGTGTGTTTTCTTATCTGAGTTCTAGTAGGGGCAGCATATGGAGAAAGATTAGAAATCTAACCCAACGAGACATCCTTTACCATAGAGTCAGCCTGTAAAATGAAAAAGATAGTCTTACAAGGCCGAGTCCATTCTGAGACCATGACGATGTGGGAAGGAGTTCCCTGAGGAACTCTGTTCTGGGTTTATTCAATGGTGTACAAATCATGATCTCTGTCCCTAGGTGAAGACATTCAGCTCTGTCAGGAAAAAATACTGCTGTCTGTTATCTTAATAGGAACATTCTGGGGGAGGGGATGGATTTCCCCAGTACATCCAATATTCCCATTTTATAGGCAGAGAGAAATTACATATTAGCAAGGTCTCCCAGATGCCAGTGCTTTGGTTTCTGGGGGACCAACATCTTGCCAGAAAGAGACAAGTGATAACATCCAATTTAGTACACCCAGATTTATGCCAATGCCTGATTTCCAAACGCCAAGTCATCTCGAATGTCCAATTACAGATATTAACAGCAGGGTTTTCATAATCAAATGTCAATGTGATTTAGAAAGAAAAAGGACAAGAGAGTTTTATGGGGCCTGGAGATAGTCTAATAAGATTTAGAGAGAAAATTAAAGGCCATGGAGACTGGAAAAATGCATTATCCTTGGGGGCATGCAAAGATACTTGTAGGAGAGGGTTGTGATTGGTGTAGATCTCTGTCCCACCCCCGGGCAGCCAATCTCTGGCCTAGCAGCCAGTCTGCATCTGTGAACACCCACCCTGACATTTCACTGTCTCATACCATGCTGCTTGCTTCTAGTTCTACTCAACAGAGAAACAAAACAGAAGCTTGCTGCCCCTGCCCTGTGTGATCAGGGATGTGCTCAATGCCTGGTGGTACTTGGGGAGGTCTCATGCCTGTGCATAACCTCCCCCTATGATGCACCTGCCATCTGACCTCAGTCTGACATAAGGGTATGGCTGGACTTAGCCCTCTAAGTGCACAGGCCAGGTCACACCATTAAGAGTCGAAAGGAAGAGACATGTTTGGAAAAGGTCCAAAGCCACAGCAAACTCAGGAGCAAACCAGCACAGCACTCAGTCATGTCCTACCTTCCGGATGGTTGGGAATTTGCCATCATAACGATAAAACCACCCAAAGGCTATAAGAACACAGAGAACAGAAGAATGAGACACAGCTAGGCCAGAGTCCCACAGGCAGCAGCTGGGAGCTGGGTTCCTCAGGAACACATGGCTTTGTGAGAGGAAGAACAGCGCCATCAGATCCAAGAACAGAACTGCACCCTCTGTCCGACTCTCAGCCCACCTGGCCTCATCTGGGTTGCAGAGCAGGCCCAAGACTACCTGAGAAAAGCCCCAGTTCCCAGGCTCTGGGTCAGTCTCAAAGGCCTCTCCTTAGGACACTGGCTTTAGAAGTCAGTGCCAGAAAATCAGAGAAAATCCCTTGTGGACAGATGAGCTTTTCTAAATCACAGCACAGTGTCCAAATACAAAGCCTCGTTGAAAGAGAACGAGGTCTCTCCTAACCGACGCCTGGTCCTTCCATCCAAGAAATGGCTGCAGACAAAAGACAGCCTGGCTCTCTGCCTGGAACTGTTGTCAGACAGAACAAAACTGTCTTGTTTCACAGTGTAGGCCAAGTCCTCTGCTTTCAACATTGAAAGTACTCTGGGAAGGATGGCTCCAGCAGTGGTGGGCAGGAAATGTGCCCCAGAAAAGCGTCTCAATCCAGTCCAGATAACTAGGACACTGGCCCCCTTCCTTTCCCAGGCAACAGCTTAACAGAGTAGTACCCCAAACCTGAAGTTCTCTGGTTCTGGGGGAAATAGCTTAAATAATTGCTTACCCTTGACCAGCCTGAGCATTGGAAGAGGATAGTGAAAGCTTTCTGTTGGACCAGGCATTACCTCCTTAGTTGCTGGGTCTAGGAATGGTCCAGGGAGTCCTAGAGGAGAGGCCAGAGCAGCAGGGGGAGGACTTCGGTTCAGGCTATGTCTAACTATCTGAACCAGTGACCCAGTGTGCACCAGCCGATTACCAGCAGGGCCCTGAGTCCTGACCGCAAAGTTTTGTATACGGTGCTTGGGCCAACCCAGGTTTTGGAGGAGCTCTGCAGACTCCAGTGGTCCCCCCACGTGCCAGCCCCTCAGAGTTGGGTGTGTGTGCTGTTGTCAGAAGGAGGCAGGCAGAGCAAGCAGCGCAGCAAGGCCAGGAAGCAAAGCGGGGGCGCGAACCTGCTCTCCCAGCTCCTCCATGCCTCCATCCAGGTCGTCTGCGGGCTCAAGCTTGGGCTCCACTCCCTGATCATCTACCCAGGGGAAGAGGAGGAAGCAGTGAGCGAAGAGGGACTTGGGAAACTGAGAGGCCACACGGGCTTCCCAGAAGCCTGGGGACCTGTGAACAGCTTCCTCCATGGGAGCTGTGAAGCGAAGGGCAGGGACAGAGCTCAGGAGCCCAGAGCAAAGGTTTCTCGGTCTGGGCTAGTATGTACCGTGTGTCCAACCTCTGTAGCTTTAGTTTCTCTGTCTCCATGATGGGCTAACAATGGGGGCTTCTGATCCGATGGCAGCGTGAGAATCATTTTGCAGGGCATTAAGTTGAAGGTTTTGAGGTTTGGGGAAGAGGATGGGAATGTTTGAGGTTGCTTGAGGGCAAGAGCTTATAATGGGAGAACAGCTCCTCCTGACCTCTGTTCACCACCCTTTCTTTGGTGCTCGGCTTCTGTGGGATGTCTGTGCAGGGTGGGCAGCATATGGAGGCGGGGGTCCTGAGGTAAGGAGATCCCCCAAATGGGGCCCATGTGGTTAGGAAGACCCCAATTTTGACTTAATGCAGAGAGGAGAGTTGTTCATTCCATTGGTTTCCAACCTGGACTCTGGCCTCCTTGGGGCCCTGGACAGTAGTATGCCAGTCTGCTCGTGAGCTGCTCTTTAAGGCTTCAGAAGCTTAAAAGAACTTGTCCACTGGCCTATGAAAGGCTATGTGTTAAATTACTTTGCTGTAGGCTCAAATTCCATTTACTCAACAGTGGGCATTGATGCTCCTTTGCTAACAATAAGGACTACTTTTACTTAATAAAATAATGGGACACAGATATTACTTAATAATTTGGTAGAAAAAAGCCTTCAGCTTCCAAATCATGGGGTCTATTCTGGTGGGAGTTGGGGAGATAACTGATAGGGTCCTGGATGGGGAGAGAAGGTTGGCTATCTCTTGCTTATTAAACCTCTTCATCTCCCAAGAACACTTCCAGCTCTGGGATCCTTAATAAACACCTTACCTATCACCACCCGCTGTTGTCTAAGATGAGGAACGTTCTTTTAGAGGCCTTGGTGGCAATATCCTGGCCTCAGGCTTGGGGTTCTGCAGGAACAGCCATGGGTAGGTGGGAAGAAGCAATTGTAAGAGCCCCCTGCGACAAGCACAGGGGCAGTCAGTCCTGTGCACATCATGAGGACCAGTGACGTCGTTTTCTAGGTAAGAAAGGCTCCACACTCTGACAGAGTCCATCCACCTCCTTACAGGCACAGAGCCTGAGTTAGGTATAACTTATGGCTAACTGGGTCCTAGAGATGAAGGGTGCTCAGGAAAGAGTTGGCTGGGCCTGGGGCCTGCTGGCGCAACATGGCCCAGAATGTTCCAGCCTTGGGCAATAGGGAGAGAGGCAGGAATTGAACTGGCTCAGGGAGTTCAACGCATTTCCTGACTTAGATCCAAATTAGAACTAAATTGCCGGTGTGTATGGAGATGGATGGAGGCAGCAGCTGCCCGGCTCAGCCAGCAGACGGGGCCATCAATCCCACGCTTGGTGATGCTGCCTTAGAATACTTTTATCTTTAGCAAAGCCAAAATTCTTTTTCTTTTTATTCAAGAAGCTTGACCTGGTTAAAAAGCACTAAATAAATAGCTAGCTTTCACTAGAAAGGGCTTTTATTTTCTATAGTTCCTGAGAGGGTGTGTTTACTGTGAACCTGAGACCCAATTTCTAGAAAGGTACTAAATCAGCTAGGATTACTTTCATGAGAAGCAATTAAAATTGATTTCTCTCCCTCTGAAGCTCCTATTTCACTAATAAGAGCAAATTAGCTGCCTGTCTAAACATGGATTATTCACCCGGAATTTAGCCCTGGCCACATCCTTAGCTAATCCCGAATGTCATGGGAGAGGCTGATGAGAGTGCGCTTTGTCCTTCCAACAGGACGTGAGACGACTCTGTGCCCTGCTGCCAGGAGGGAATGTGCTGGGAGCTGTTTGCCCTGAACTAGGGAGGGGTGAAATGGAACCATCCATGTACCCCAAGCCTCTTTCTTGGTCCAAGAGGCCTGTGTTGGCAAGTTGATGTCCCTTTAGGGCTTGATTATGATCAAAAGTTGGGGACAGAGCTATCCAGACCCCATCACAGTGTCCCAGTGGACGCCATAACAGAGGAGGAACCTTGGTTCTTGAGTCCAGATTCACCCCTTCACCCCATTCTGGAGGTCCACAGGTCAGCTGAGCATAATCAGCTGGACTAGAGCCTGTCCCATGTCAGTTATAAGTTGAAACAGCTGTAAAGTGGGATTGAGACCCTTTCCTCCCATTCTGGAGGTCCACAGGTCAGCTGAGCACAATCAGCTGGACTAGAACCTGTCCCACGTCAGTTTTAAGTTGAAACAGCTGTAAAGTGGGGTTGAGAAGCCAACCAGGAATCTGGACCCATGGTTGTTCCAGGAGCGCACCACTGGCACACTGAAGACAGACTGGGATTAAGGCCCTTGCTTTCCCCTGGCAGTGTGGGCTGCCTCTTGAAGAGACATCTGGAAGTTAGGGCTACAGAGGGGGACAGGGAGCAGTTGGTGGGGCCTGCACTGAAACTGGAGGTGAGGATGCAGGACAGATGAAGCCAGGAGATGATAAGGAGATGTGATTGCCCAAGCTGGTGTTGATGGTGGAGATGCTAAGCAGCCACCAGGCCACAGCTGGGTATCTGGGAGAGGTCTCCCAGCGCTGTGCCTGCAATGATGTGAAGTGGTCCATGCATATAGGGCTATAGTTGCTGGGGTCACTCTAGTTGAGCTCCTTCCACAGCTGCCTGTCAACCTGAGTCCACCAGCTCCCTCTCTTTCTTTTCTTTCTTTCTTTTTTTTTTTTTTGCAGTTTTTGCAGTTTTGCCCGGGGGGTTTGAACCCACCACCTCCGGTATATGGGGCTGGCACCCTCCCTACTCCTTTGCATCACAGGGGCCACCCAACCCTCCCTCTCTTTCTTGGTGCTGACTTCACCCAGCCCCAGTTGAGAACAAGGCAAAAAAGGAACTAAGATAGTGGTAATCCCATGCGCTAGTTTGCCTTTGCCATAGCCCTTTTCCCTCTTCAGCCTGCCTGAGACTGTGTTGGGGGGACCTGAGAGCTGAGTGTGTGGAGCAGGCTCCTGGACAGGGAGGACTGGCAGGTCCCTCCCACGCCATGCCCTAGAAGATGCCCCCTGACACATGACTGCCCCCCAAGAAGGAACTTCAGTCCAGAGTGTGATGGCCTCCTCATAGGGAGGTGGTGGTGAGCAGAGGGACACCAGAGTATCTGTCTGCCTCCTCAGCCCCTGCCTGGTCCACAATACCTACACTTTGGCTTGCGAAGGGGTACCGGGTGCACCTCGGCGGTGATGGTTTGAGGTAAGAGCAGCTGTTCCTTCGAGCCCCAGTCTTCTTCCCACTGCTTCTTAAACTTCTCTTCCTCTTCTACAATCCTGAAAGGAGACCCCCCCCACACACACATACCTGTGATGGGAGTCGGAACCTTCCAAGGCCCACCTCCTGCCTCTTGGATAAAACACAGTGCCTGGAGTTTATATTCTAACCTGAGTGTGAACACCAGCTTGGGCAATTACATATGACCATGTTCTAGTAAGTTACCCTAATATGATAGCTTTACTAGGATGATGGACTGGCTTCAAAGGAGGTCCCACCAGGGGTAAAGAGGGCCAGGTAAACTGGTCTGGAGGTGGCCTCTGGCCGGCCACACTCCCGTGAGCACACTCATATCCGTGCACAGACACACTCAGAGCCCAGGTACTCACTGTTCCATCTCCTTCCGGTATCTCTCATTTTCCTCTGCTGCCTTCTGGGCAATTTCCTTTCTCCTTCTGAAACACAAATGCAGACTGGCATGTTTGGATCTATGCTAGAGAAGTTAACTCTTTCGTGTAACTAATTCCTGGGTCGAGAAAAGTTTTAAATGGCTTTTCTAGGCTCCCTTCCAGGCATCCTTGGAATGCTTTTGGCTTTTGAGGAAGTTATCCAACAAAGTCTTGTCCCTCTGCTCCTGTGTGGTTTTGTCTGCCATTGCTGAGCAGAGATTGTGTTTTGGGAGCCAGGAGGCAGGTCCTTGTGAGGGCCATACCCTGCACATTCACCTCCAAACAGACAATGTGACTGACAAGAGGCAGTCCTGGTCTGAGTGAGGTCCTCCCTGGGAGGCCCCAGACCTCAGGAGCAGAGCAGGGGATGCTAAGCACATGTGATTCTCCAGGCTAATTCTGAGATGAGGGAGACAGGGGCACCTCTTCCCTTTCATTTTCCAAATAAATATTAGGTGCCTAGAAGTGCCGACAATATATGTGGATTTGGCCACCTCATGTATTCTCTTGTCCTGCCTGGGGGTGAGGTGGGCTTTATCACTGAAGGTGGGGCAGCCTGTGGGGACTGCCAGGCTCTTTAGCTAGATTGCCTGGCTGTGATCCCAACTTGGCCATGTGTAACTCTGGAACAAATGGCTTAACCTCTCTCTCTGAGTTTCAGTCTCCTCACCTGTCATATGAAGTTAATAATGTCTGAATTAAATGAAAAAGTATAAACAAGGCCCTGATATAATACCAGCCACGTGGTAGATAGTTGACAAATGTTAGCTGATGCTAGTAAGGTCCTCATTTTTTATATTCTTGGAGGCTTGGTAATCAGGTGACTCTAGGCAGCAAGGAGGGCAGGGATAGGTGGCCTGAGGCAGAGGACAGATGCGTTGACCTACCACTGAACCCATCTCATCTGAGGATGGGCTGCAGGGGGCAGAGGATGAAGTCGGCCATGGTGATACAGTGGGCAGGGAGCAGGGCAGGCAGGGCCATACAGAGGTCTAGGAGGGTGGGGCAGGGGAGCTGGCCACACTCACTGCCGCTCCATCTCCTGCTGCTCCTGGAGGATCTTGTTGGACTCCATCGCCAGCCGCTTCTGCATCAGAAGCTCTTGCCGCTGCAGCTCGCGCTGCCGGGCCTCCTCCAGCCGCTCCCGGTCTGTCATGAACAGCTCCCGGCCCTCATGGGGAGAAAAGAGGCTGCTTGCTGAGAGCCCTGGGGAACCTGGGTGTCCACTGTCACACAGCCTTGCAAGCCAAGATGTGGGGTATCTTCTTAGCACTGTTAGGTACTGTGGCTCTTGTGGTCTCTGACCTGAACTTCTCCTTGCTGGGCAGAAGTTCTCTCCCTCTGCTCTGTCAGAGCTTCAGGGAAGGAAACCCCTTGGCCCCTCCAAGGGACAGAGATTAGGAGGGTCAAGGGGCTGGGGCTGAAGGTCAGGGGTTATGGGCCCTGCCAGTTCATTCTGTACTTACAGCCCCTGCTACGATGGAGATGGTCAGGCTGCGGCTACTCTTCAGCACATTCACAGCCTGTGGGGACAAGAGGATAGTCAGCTGAGGCCTGACAGACCACAGGGGTCCCAGGCAGAGAGCACCAGAGGTCTCAGGCACCGTGGCAGTCAGGGTGGGAAGGCGGGTGGGAGATGATAAAGGCTGGCAGGTGAAGACCTCTCACATCTCACCTCTTTGTGGTCCAGGTTGGAGAAATCAATACCGTTGACTTCGACAATCTGATCCCCTGTCTGGTGGAGACATGGACAAAGATCAGTGTGTCTGCTCTATCTGTATACTCACTCATCTGCAGGACGGGCACCCCCAGGGGGCCAGGGCAGACAGCGGGTCTTCAAACGGCTGCACTTCAACTCTTCCTAATGAAAAGAGCAGTTAGAAAGCTCTGATGGCACCCTGGCAGGGCCTAAAGCTCCCTGGCACCCTTCAACCCTGTGACTGTGAGAACATAATAACTATATATTTACAGGGTACATGTAATGTTTTGATACAGGCACACAGTGTGAATTGATTGAGATACCCATCACCTCAGGCATTTATCATTTCTTTGTGTAACCAATTCCATCCCTTTAGTTACTTTAAAGTATGCCCTAACCCATAGCTATCAGTGATCAAATATTACGCCAGTAGAGCTTCATTTCTGTGGCTAAATTAGTGACATGTGCTTTAGAAATCTCAATTTGTAGACACAGGAGCCCTTGGGCTTCTCATATAGCAGAGGCTGTGTTGAATCATCACAAGAACAGAATAGCTAACATTCATGATCATTTACCATGTGCCTGGCACAGTTCTAGCCTATGTATTAATTAATTAATTTAATCCATGTAACAACCCTGGAGAGAAGGCACTATTATCTCCATTTTATAGAAGAGGAAACTGAAACACAGAGACATGAAGTAACCTGTCCAAAGAAGTGGTTAGAGTTCCTGTTTTGGCATCAGAATACCCCAATTTAAATCTTAGCCCTTCTGTACTAGGTACGTGACCATGGAAAAATCACATACTTTCTCTGGGTCTTAGTTTTCTCATTTGTAAAATGGTGATAATGATAGTACCTAATCCTCAGAGCGCTTGTTAAGTGTAAAGGCTGGAATAATATCCAATGGAAATAAACACTCACTGAATGTCAACTCGTTGATTACTTTTACCACATTTCCAAGATTGGGACCAATGATAGAGATGGAGAAGACACAGAGGGGCCACGTGTCCTACCTCCGAGAAGCTTTCCCTCAGACAAGGTCATATGGGAAGGCACAAACCTCCATCACCGTGGGACCACTCTGACCTTGTGTACCCAGGCCCACTCAGGGTCACTCACCTCCAAGCCCACTTCGGCAGACAAGGAGCCAGGCTTCACGTGGCTGATGAAGATGCCGGGTTTCTGGATGGGGCCACTGGAGATGCTGGGGGAGATGAGAAACGCATGATGTCTTGCTCTTGCTGCTTGTCCCCTGTGGCACTTAACTCATTCTTAATGTCCTGCCTCCTCTGCCTGATATCCAGTGCCCAGGATGCAGGTCACACATGAGCTCAGGACCCACTGTCTACCTCTGCAGGCTCTATCTCTTTGTCCAGGGTGATTTCCACCACAACCCTGGGAAATAGCCACAGAAAACCTCCTACACAACACATTGCACATGCCATTTTTTCTTTCTTTCTGGCACTTCTCCTGCTCATTTCTTGAGACTCAAATGCATCTCCTCTACAAGGTTTTCATATGACCCCTTATTTTCTCCCAAGACTAAGCCACTTGCTCCATTTTCAGTGCTTCTGTAGCATCTACAGCAAGGTTGGCACTTACACTGTTCTCCCTTCCTCTATCTGTGGCAGACATTACTAATCCATCATAGCAGTCCTTCCCACCAAGCCTGGATGTGGTCTTAGAATCCTTTCCAAAGTAGCACATTAGGCAGCCTCTGCTAGGTGGAGATGGCACAGAAAGGAAACCAATTTGCCATCCCTGACCCAGAATGTAGCTCCTTTAGGGTCCTTGTCACCCTATATTATAAATATCTACATAGTTGGCTTCTGTATTAGGCTGTCATCTCTTAGGGAGTCTTTTTTATCATTTATGCTTGGCACAAAAGCACCGAATACATGTGAACAAAAGGAAATATGAATAACAATAATAGCTTAAATAATAATATTTACCAACTGCTTATTACCTACCCAGCACTAAGTGTGGGTACTTTACTTTCTCCATAACTACCCTGTGATATGGGAATTATTATCCTCAATTTACAGAAGGAGAAACTGAGGCTCAGAGTGGTTAAGTAACTGATCTAAGGTCCTAATGCTCTAAGTGGGAAAGCAGGGTGGAACTGAGACCTGAGTGACTGTGGCACCTGCATGTTTAACAAGAATGCTCTGTATGGCCAAATGCTCGTTTGGAATTCCCTGGATGACCAGCCAAATAGGCTCCTTTTGCAGTGACTCAAGGGCCCATCAAAGGGAACATTGTTCTTTCTGCCTCTGGGCCTCAATTTCCTCATCTGCAAGACGGAATCTGATAGAGCTGCCACTCTGGCCCACAGGTCGCTTGTGAAACTCTGAGTAGCCACCAAGAAGTGTCCTCACTGGTAGACATGTCACATTTCTAGTGGGGAAGCGTCTCCTCAGAAGCAGCAGTGAGCAAGGGAAGAGGCACCAGGGGCCTCCTGGGGTCTACCAGCCATGAATGAGCCCCCGGTATAACTGCCACCCACCTGCAGCCAAGGCCCCGGGAGCCCACCAGGCTGATGAAGATCTTCTTCTCCTTGTTTTCCCGATTCCCAGTAGAGCCCAAACTGCCCCGTCCGCCCTGGAGGAGGGACAGAAGCAGGTTACTGGGTGTCCACATGCATTCAAGTGGCCTCTTGAACTTGTGAGGCCTTCAGAGGGAATGCTGCTGAGTTCACACAGGCTGGACTGACATTCTGTCCCTGGGGATGTGCCTGCCTGTCCAGTGACAGGGGCATGCTAGATGCCCTGGGGGCCCGTGTGAAGCCCCTGAAAGCACATCACTAGAGCAAGCCCTACCTTCAGGAGTGCCGGCCCCTCCTCAAAGACCACCCCATCCATACCCCATCACAGATGGTCCCAGCCCTCACCTCGGATTCTGACACAAACTGATCCACATACTGCCACTTGAGAGGCTCGTCGGGATTGCTGATGGGAGAAGAGAAAGGCATTTGTTAGCGGGAAATGTCTGAAGGGTCACATCTGGAGCCTCCAGCCTGGCCCAGGAATAGTGTGGCAGGGCAGGGCCAGCCCCCAGGACCCTGAGCCCACAAAAAAGTGTCTGCCTATAGAGGAGGGTCCTGCTCACCTCTTCACAGGGATCAGGCCAATGTCTGTGGGGAAAAGGCACAAGGTTAGCACAGCTCCTCTGGTGTCCTTCCTTTTCCCAGGAGCTGGGGACCCCTGCTGCCTCTGCCACCCCACCATTTCTAAGCCCCACCTCCTCTGGCCTCACTCACGTCTCACTTTGATGGACACAGTCTTCTTGGTTCGGATGAGGTTGATGACCTCCTCGTGGGTGCAGGAGGAGATGGAATACCCATTGATCCGGACGATCTCATCCCCTACCTTGACCACAGAGAGGGAACACGCACCATGTAGAGGGAGTGTCAGACAGCTGGGCTGACTCTCCAGAAAAGGGAACAACAGCCATGCTGTCTCCCAGAGTACCTCAAAATGTGCCCTAGCACCTGTCACAACCAAGCCACCTTCTATCAGCCAGGGGATCCTGGGGCAGGTGGAATTCCCAAGCAGCCTTTCTGCCTCATTTTACAGATGGAGAAACCAAGATGGGGGTGAGAGGCAGAGCAAGAGGGTGGCAGAGCTGGGAGTAAAACTCAGGACTTTGCACCCTCGTTCTGGTGCCCCTTTCACCCTACTAGGGCTCCATCAGGTTCTGAAATCCATGTAAAGGGGGACACTCCACCTAGCTTTAAGAAGCTCTTGCCAGGACTTTGTCCCACCAGCTCCTGGGAAGCAGGTTTGCTGGTCTTCATTAATCACTATAACTCTATGACTGAGACGGGACCGTCTGTGACTCCCAACCCAAGCTCACATCACTGACACAGGACTGAGACAGGACCGTCTGTGACTCCCAACCCAAGCTCACATCACTGACATATACACATGATCTCTGTTTTTCCACTGATGGAAACTTGATGAATGTTTTAACTCTGCCATGGTCCTGACCTCTGAATTCCTTTTCTGGGAGCAAGTGAAGAATGGTGAATGATGCTTTGGTATCAGATATCCCGGGTTCAAATCCCTTATTCTATTTTTATTAGCTATGTGACCTGGGGCAAGTCTCTTGAACTCTCTGAACCTCAGTTTTCCTCATCTGCAAAATGGGGAATACTGTGGTTGCTAGGAGAGCAAATTTGTACAGGTAAAGCCAGCCAGTGCCTGGCACACGGTAAGTGTTCCATAAATGGTTGCTGTTCTTATCACTGGTTGGGCCAGAGCCCTAAATAGGCTGTTCAGATCCCTCTTTTGAGGGTTCAAGCCACAGCAGATTGGTAGATGGGGACTAAGGGGCCTGCAGGGCCAGCCCTGGATGCAGCTCCATGGTGAGACTGCCCCCTGCTGGACACTGCTGCTGGCTTTCCCAGGTACCTTGGCCCTAGGGATTAATTCTGAAGCTCCCCCATTTAATAATCACAGGGCTGGATGTCCTGAAACAGAGGTTCAAAGAAGTAATGTTTTGTCCAAGATCACACAGTCAGTAGCTGTAAAACAGAGGCTGGTCCTGAATGCCCTTGTCTGAGGCCAGAGCAGGTCAGCTGGGGGTTAACTCAAACCTTGTGTGCTGACCCTTTGGCAACTTGCTAGAACATTTGGGGGATGCAAGTTGGACTTCCTGTAGCCTGGGCAGGCAGGGAATGGGTGGGTGCACAGCTTCCAAGGGATCCTCCAGGACAGCTGCCTCTACAACACTCCCTCAAAAGTCACCTTCTTACTACTGCCAGGAACACTTCCCTCTCATTCTTGGACACAGACCCCCAGTCTTCTAGGGACCTGTCATGAACTTGGAGGAGCTCAAAAAGGTACAATGGAGAGGGCTTGCTAAAGGTTTCTTGGGACCTCTAATCGAGGAGAGAAGCTGGACTAGCTCCTTGTACCTATTTTTTACAACAATTCTGCAGAGTAGGAATTTGTGTCTGTGTTAATCAGATGAGGACACTGAGGCTCAGAGAGGTGAAGTGCCCTGCCCACGGTCCCCCAGCTAGTAAACAGTGCTGTTGCTGGGATTTGAAGTCGGGTATCTCTGATAGATAAGTGTTGTCTCTTGGGTGTCTGGAAGCAGAAAAGAAGGGCGCCTGGCCAAGCCTGGTTGCAATTCCCTGTGTCCTGCCCTCTCTGGATCCTTGCCACCAAGGTCTGTAAGCCCACAAGTTCCCAACAAAGGCAACAATTATTCTCTCCATTTTACAGCTGGGACAACAAAGGCACAGAGAATCATTTTCTAGCCCTAGTATATGCAGTAAATTGTATAGCATGATTGCCCGGTTCAGGGCAGAGCCCACAGGGTAAGGCAAGATATTCTTGAAAAAAATCTCACGTATCTCCAGGAGAGAGAAAAGATCAGAGGGATGGACCCCTGGGACTACGTCCTTTTGGAGTGTCCAACAGCCTCATAGGTCAGATCAGTACAGGGTTGTCAGCCTAGCCAGGCTGTATCTGAACCTGATCCCTCCCCTGCTTTCTAGAATCTTCTCCACACTACTCTTAAAAGTGAGATCTCCCCTGAAATACAAACCCCAGACAGGTCAATGGATGCAGCCCTTTCCCCCAAGCTCCTCTGAGTAAAGTTCCTGGTCTTGTTCCTAAAGGGAACTTGTCGCAGAACCCCAGTCAGAATGATTCCCACGCAGCCCCTGGCTCAGGTTGCAGGATCGACTTTCCTCTCCCTCTCACCCTGCATGGAGTCCTGCAAAAAGCCTTTTGTGTAAGGGCCACAGTGATATGACGATCTGAGGGACAGCAGCACAAAGGAGGGATGAACTCAGCAGCCAGAGAAAAGGTCGATAACACATAAGCCTGAGAAACAGCTGGGAAGGTAAAACTAAATTTCATTAAAATGCCCCGATGCTCCCAGTCATGGAGGTACCATTGAGAAATGCTTGTCCTAGGAGCAAAGCTCACCCTGGAAGAAAAAATAGGGCCTCAGCCGACGCCAAGAGAGGAGCTCATTATGTTTCTTCTCTGGCTACATTTCTGGGCTGGAAAATGTGCCGCAGAGGAAAGGAATAATGAAGGGGCTGAAATTTCAGACACCACCAGCAAGCCGTGAGACAGGGATTTAGAACAAAGCGATGTCTGTCAGCTCTCTGTTACCACCCCGACTCCACGGTGTCCTGTACCATTAGCCCTTGAGCCCCCTGAAGCCCCTAGCTTGGCAGAATTGTGGTGTTGATAATGAACATGCTGGAAGCTTTGGGGCGTGGTCGGAGGGCCTCCTTTATCTGCACGTACAGAAACACAGCTCTGGGCTCTGGTCGTAGTGAGACTTGGAGGTCTGCCCATCTCTACTGAGGCACTGAGGTGTGGGGACCTTGAGGGAGAGCTACCTGGGGTGCTGAAGAGAAGTTTCTGGGCTTGGCAACCAGAAGACCCAGGTTCTAATCCTGGCTATGCCACTTACTGGCCTCCTAGCCTCTGTTAACTCTGCAAAATGGGGATGGCTCCATTAGTGCATACAGTAAGAACTGGCTGTGAGTGTGTGACCTGGCCCATCACAGGTATTTCATAAATTCCCCTCCCCCTCAGTGTTTACTTAGCAAATTCACAGCCCTTATGTACCAGGCATTGTTATAAGGACTTTCTAATATTCATTCATTTCATGCTCATCCAACCTGATGAGGTAGATAACATCGTCATCCTCTCATTTTATAGATGAGGAAACTGAGGCGCAAGGATAAATCATGCCATCCAATGACATGAAGCTTAATGAAGCGCAAAGCCAGGATTTGAGCCTGAGTGATCCACCTTCGGAGTCTGTGCTCTCACGCATCACACTGCACTGGGCTTTCTTTTTCCCTGCTGGTAAAAGGTGACATATTGAAAGCTGAAGTGTCTGGACATCGCTGTGCTCTTCTGCTAGGAAGGAGGAGGTGGGGAAGTGAGCAGCAGCAGTTGGGAAGAGGCAGTGGCCAGGTTCCCAACTTGACTCGAGAAAATAGGCATTTATTTGCCTGTGGCCTGATTTCTATGGGCCTACAAACACCTGTCGGGATGTGTTGGCCTTGTCCTCCCCCAAAGGCTTGGAAAAGTGAGTGACCACATTGTATGCCCAGCATCCTGGATGAGTGAGGGGGGGAGACAGGAAGCCTGAGGTCCTGGCCCCCCACCCTCCCCACTCACCTGGAGCCCGACGCTGTCTGCCTGACCACCTTTGATGAGGTGGGAGATGAAGAGCCCACAGCCAAACTCGAGGCCGCCACGCACGCTGAGGCCAAGGCCTTCGGGGTGTAGGCGGTCCAGACGCACCTCCTTCAGCTTCCTGCCACAGCAGGAGAGGTCAGTGATGACCCAGCTCGACTGCCAGTGCTGCCCTGCCCACTAGTGAGGGACTCTGTCCATCCAAGGGCAACCTCCCCCACCCCTGCCTCTGGCCTGGGGGCTCCCTCCACACCTGGAGCGCCGTGGGGTCAGCTGGTCATATTCCACCTGGTGCTTCAGTGGGATCAGGGGCCGGATGGCATCAAAGAGGGGTAGGCGGCTGGGCTCGTTGATGACCAGTTTCAGGTCTCCCACGAGCACGGCCACATCCATGGTCCTGCAGAAATGCAGCAGATGCTAATTCACCCCTGGCCATGACCTCTGGGACCCAGGGATTTCCAGAGGAAGCCGTCGCAGTCCCCCACCCACTGGGCCCAGGCCTAGGAATTGAGGAGCCCACTCCTGCAAAGGTCAGAGCCCCTAACTCCGGGCCAGGTGCCTCAGACAGCTTTGTTCTCTCACATAAATATCACAAGGAAACAGCATGCTAGGGATCGTTAGCCCATTTTGCAGATGAAATCATGCCAGGACTTCAAATTTAGCACTGTGTAGTTTGAAGTCCAGGGTATTTCCAGATAGGAAACCTCTGTGTGCAGAGTCGACGGCCCCTCCCATACTGTTATCTCCACTCTGAACTGCTGCTGGGCCCTCTAAATTCTACCCTCACCATCTCTCTCCCGTGCTTCCTCCTTCACATTGTCCAGACCTTGGCCACCTCCAGCCGTCTGCTGATTTACTCATCTCATCTAATCTTTTCTAAATATAAGTCACTCCCCCACTTAAAATTCTTCGATGGCTTCTGTTACTGACCAGAGGACAAAATTCGTTCTTGGCAGGCTCAGGGCCTCCATGACTTGTCTCCATGGAACTTTTCCAGCCTGTGGCTATTTGCGGTCCCTGTGGACCCCAAGTCCTACTCCCCCAGGTTACACCTCATTCCCATCCGCACCCTGTGCTTTCATGCCTCCACACCTTTGCTGCTGCTGCTCCTTCATCCTGGAACACCCTCCCCTGATATTCTACCTGTCAAAATTCTACTTAGCCTTCAAAGCCTAGTTCCAGCCTCCCTGGTCATCCTCCCACACACACTGCCTAAAGTGGAAACCCCTTTCTTCACATTTCTGCTGATCCCTGACTTAGCAGTTATTTTATTGTAACTTATGTTTGAGCTCTTTGTGTTTGTAGTGTCTGCCCATCCCCCTCACCAGGCCATGAATTACTGGAGGAAAGAAGGTGGATCTTATTCACCTCCAGTTCCTGCATGGTACCCAGCATAAATGTATACGGAATAAATCAAAAAACAAGTGGGTGCTCAAAGACATCTGGTGCAGGGGCTGGGGCCAGCTGGCATCTCTCGTTCTGTCCCCACAATCATACTCTATTGAACCTGTCTGGCTGCTTGACAGACTCCCCCATCTGGCTGTGAGCAACCTGAGGGCAGAGACCAGGCTGTCTTGCTCACGAGTATCCCCCTCCCCTAGCACAGAGCCAAGCACAAAGTATCTGTGTAAATACTTGCTGCAGTGAAAGAATGGCATCAGCATTTGATTCCTAGGAGCACTAAGCATCTGGCTTCTGGGCTCCTCTGGCCTAGAACAATTCATGCCAGGGCTCCCAGAGACAGAGGCACTCAAGCTGGACCCAGCACACTTACTGGTGGTACATCCGCAGCACGTCATAGAGATAGTCCTTCTCTGCATCATTTTCAATCAGGAAATCCACCTGGAACACCCAAGGACAGAATTAAACAGCTCCACACCCAGCACCCTATAGCAGACCGCAGAGAGGAGAGGCCACCCCCAGGGACCTCTCCAGCATCTCCTCAGGGCTAGGATTGCAAGGGGTGAGGGGAAGCCATAGGCCAGGCTGCCCCCTCAACTGCGGACATCAAACCCATGCAGACCACACCAGCGTGGCTGCAGCCATTCACTTGTACATCCAGATGTGGCCAGGCTGAGTCCTGTCCCCAGGTGGGTGATACAGGAACATGCTCAGGGTTGCACACACATATGAGCGTTTACTGTGCTGTTGCTTGTCCCCGTGGCTGTGTCATGCATGTCCAGAAGAAGCCCATTTCTTACCTGATGGTGGCTATAGTGCCGGATAAACGCTTTCAGAAAGGATTTGGGCCACTCGTTCAGATAGCACATCCCACTCACCGGAAGCCCCCTTCCGCCAAATTCTTCTCTGACACTGATGCCACGGAAACTCAACCCTGTCCTGGCCTAAGCTGGGCTGTCCCTGAGTTCTGTCCACTAGTCAGCCTCCTGGCCACTCCTTCCCCCTCCTAAGGTCCTGCACATGCCCCCAGGAGGAGAGTCGGGTTACATCATTTCAACTTTGTTGACGTCAATGGCTGGGGCTCCACAGTTGGGTTCAGGAGCTGTTTCGTTAGCACCTCAGTCTCAGGAGAGCTCTGAATTCCACTCCCTGGGATAGCTCAATGTGAATCTCTATGCACTGCACCCTTGTCTCTCTCTTCAGACTAAGACTGGGTAACGGGGCAAGGTAGAAGTTTGAGGGAGCATTGGGTCCCTCTCTTCTGTAGCCTCTAGGCCCAACGGCGCAGGCCTGAGCCTCAGCCCTGAACAGACAGAAACTCCTGCTGGATGCTGCAAGCACCCCTGATTGGTCCTCAGAGAGGGGCCAGAACAGCTTTATCTCTTTCTGTGGATGTCTGTCTGTCTCATCACAGAGACATGCTGGGCCCAGCTTTGAGATTTTAATGCAGATTGTGGCCTTGATCTGGCAGCATCCCTTCCCTCTAGATCAGGCTGAGTATTTCACTGAAGGTAAGAACAACGTAGGAGGCTTAACTCACAGCTTGGCCTATAGCTGCTATCGAAGTTCACTCTACCTGCTCCAATAAGGGCACCCCTATTTTCCCCCGATCTCACTGCAAGGGCTCCCAGCCAGTTAGAAGATGGGGGGAGCATGTGGTTGAGAGGGTGGCACCAAATCATAGGGTGGCAGTTGGGCTCTGGCACACACAACCTAAGTGAGAACCCACAACGGCCCTCTCAGGACAGAGCCCGGGCTCTCTATCCACTCTGCCGGGGCCTGTGTGAGAGGGCTGGGGGACCTCACTGACACAGACCTGGGCTGCCCACAGTGGTCTATGATTAAGGAGGCTGAGCAGAGAAAAATTCTTAATTACCCTGGGAGCAGGGCCAGAAATACCTTTACAAATCAGATCGTGTCACTTGCTTGCTTGATAGTTCCTTTTTACGCTTAAAATCCAATCCAACCTCCTTGCTTTGACTTATCAAAGCCCAACTTCCCCTCCTAGCACTCTTTCCGGCTAGGCTGGCTCCTCTCAGTGGCTCCTACAGGCCCACCCCTCTCTAGCCTCAGGGCCTCAGCATAGGCTGTTCCCTCTGCAGAGATTGCTTCTATCTTTCCCTGCCTGGCTGCCCCCCTCGCTGCCCACCTACCTGGACAAAACCTGCTCTCCCTACCCCGAGATGTTTCCAGGCCTTCATTACATCAATTAAATCCATTACAATTTGTAATTTAAGGTTTTCTTTTGTAAATCGTTTTGTCTGTCTCCTTTGTTGGGTGAAAAATTCCATGAGAGGAAAGAAGAGATCTGTTCTAAATTCTTCCAGCCTAACACCTAGTAAGTGCTTAATAAGTAAGTACTGAATGAATTTGTCTCCCTGCCTCTTGGCACCCCTGCACAATTTGGGTGTGAACAGGAGAAGGGAAAGGACGTCACCCCCATGAGTCCTCATGAGCTTCCAAGAGATGGCAGCAGGAGCTTTTCATGGGCTTTATTCCATTTGTTTATTGCACCAGCCCTATAAAACCAATATTCTTACACCCATTTGCAGATGAGGAAACTGAGGATCGGTGAGGTTAACTTACCCAAGGGCCTCCCAGCAAATAAGCAGAGCTAGGATCTGAACCCAGGTTTGACTTTAAAGCCTACACTTTCTCTGCTACACCATGTCCATTTTGTGTTCCTCATGCATTCCAGGAAAAAAAAAATACTCCCAAGGCTTCTTCAGGCCAAAATTTCAGCGTTCTTCCTTATCTCTAATCCCCATCTCTCTGCTCTGCACTGTTAAGAAAACCCTTTTGGCTTGGTCTACAATGAGCAAGAAAATAAAACATCTTTTGAATAACTCTTGAACCCAAATGTTCTGCCTTCTAAGGGGAGCATAAAAATTTCATATGCTTTGGCTGGAGTGAGGACATCCCTGACTTTAGCAAAGGTAGGGACAAGAGTAGGAATGTCTTGTTGGCTGAGGCCTCAGGACTGAAGTCCTCTCCCCTCTCCCAGCTCTCTCTGCAGAATTGCATCCTGCTGCACCGTTAGGTTTAAGTGGTGAGGGACTGTCTTCTGTGGACTGAATTTATTATACACTAAGCAGAAATCTGGAGAAGACTAAGGGAATTTGCAAGGGTAGGGTCTAGGATGCTGTTCTGCTTTCCCTGGGCCAAGCACAGATCACTTGGAGATGGTCTTGGTGGAAAAAAGCCTGTTCCTTGGGGTCCCATGCTCCTGGCCCCTTTGGGCAGCCTTTTAGTACTGACCACTGCACACAGAGACCTCCCTGTCCCCTTCCCCTGCCAGAAGTCACATGCTAGCATCTCCTCCTGAGGCAGCCATAGGGTTCAGCTCTTCACCTTCACATCTACCCACTCTCACTGGTTAGGTCACCCAAACCTTGTCTCCTGTTCTGCCCTTGCCTGCCTCTCCAGGACTGTCTCTGCCATATTCCAAGTGGGACTTAGGCTGCAAACACACCAGAATCTCCCCGTCCTCACTCAGAACACCCCACCTGTCTCCATATCTGACTTGCCCATTTAAAATATTCTCTCTCTCCCACAACAGCTGGATAAGGAGATCTGTTTTATGTGGAATGCTCTTTCAATCCTCAAAAATTTGAAAACTGGCTTTTACATGGAAGATCCTGCAAATGGAGGGATCATTCCCCACCCAGAAATGTCTGGAAAAGACTGAGAGATAACAGCACTGCAGGGCTCTCTGACCACAGCCCAACTGAAAACACACACTCATGCCTCACTCTTCAGGTGTTAAAAGCCACTGGGAAAGAAAACAGAAAGCTGGACGTTTCTCCGGAAGCCTGAACAGTCAGTAAAAATAGTACCATTACTTAATTACTTTCTAAATATTAAAAAAATTATATAGTGTTCTTTCCTCCTGGTATTCTACTTTGTACCAGTCCAAGGATCTGTTTCAGGGAGCCCCCTGCTCTAGGGTGCTTTGTTCCATTCTCCCAACGCCCTGGGTTCGGGGACATACAAAGCACCTGGCACACAGTAGGTCTTCCACACTCCTGTCTTCCCTCTCCTCATCTGTGCTCTTGTTTCCCTGTGGTACCAACTCCCTGCGGTGCACACACTGCACATGCTCAGTGGTGTCAGTTGGATGATGACTGATGCTCTAGTCTAGCGCCATCCTTCTGTCCCCTGGACCCTGTCTTAGGTCACCAACTTCCTGTCACTGCTCAGCACACATCTGCCGCAGCCTCCTGGATCTGTTTCCTCTCAGTTTATTTCCAGCTCATCTGAAAAGAGTAGTTCCCAGCTATTCCATCTATGCAAGACGGGCCCTCCTCCCATCTGAGCCTGGCCTTTATCTCAGGGGAAGTCCAAGTTACCTGTCTGAGATCTTTCCTGACTATGGCAGCCCAGTGCCTTCTCTCAGTCTGGCTCACTCATTTGGGCTAGTCTCTGCTTACTGACTGTCCACAGCATCTGAGGAATGTTACATATATTATCTTTAACCACCTAACAACCTTTGAGTGTATAATATTATTTCCACCTCACAGATGAAGAAACAGAGGATCAGAGAAGTGGCAGAGGTGAGACTCCAACCTCTGCCTGCTGGCTCTAAAACCTCTGCTTTTCTCTAAAACACCTAATGGTACCCACTTACTATATATAACTTTTTTGTATGCAGTTGTCCAATACACATTTGGTAAGCACCTATTGCATGGAAGATACCAGCCTTCTTCCTCCAGCTAGATTTAGATAGCGTTCCCTATTCTTGGATCCCTCCTGATGTTGGTTGGGCCTCAAACCCTAAAGGAGCCCATCGTTGGGGGGACTTCTATCAACCCCCCACTCCCTACTCGGCATTTGGCATTCTCTGGCTGGTGTTCAGCTGACACTGTGCTCTCTGTGTGGGGGTGGGGGAGGGAGAACCTCCACCCTCATGATCTCAAGCCCCTTGTCTGGGGCACTGGAGGTAAAATCTGGGTGTGGCTGTGGGCCTGTCTCTGGTCTCACCTCCTGGCATTCCTCCATATAAACAGCCCTTCAGGACAACTGCGCTCATAACATTTAACTCATTCAACTTTAGGTGTGCCAAAGAAGGAGAAAGAGAACAAGAATGAATTAAATAATGTATGTTGTTCTACCCGAAGCCTCCTGGGCAGTTATGGGGATTAAATGAGTGAGTATACATAAAGCACTTAGGACAGTGCCCCTGACATTGCAATATGTGTTAGATCTTTTCCTTTCAGGCCCTCAGCTTTCTCTACCCTGTCCTTGGTCTGGGGCTGGGAGTGTCTCTGCTGGGGCTGAGACCATTTCCCCTGGTATTCTGTTGTGCTCAGTTAGTGGGAAACACAGTCAGGACCTAAGAGGGCCCCTGGAGAAAGGAAGTAGGGCTCTTAGTCCCCCATAGGTCCCTTAGCCTAAGGCTGCAGCTCCTGTTTGGGGCTCACCTATCTGGTGACCCTCCCACCCCTGGCCTCCTCCAGTGGGCCCCAGGGTATATGCCCCTCTCTACACAGGCCCTTCATAGAGCTCTCTTGGGTTCTGTTTGGGTGACCACCTGCTCCTTGCTGTGTGGCTGGTATGAGACACTAGTGGTGATACTAGCGCCATTTCCTTTCTGGGGACTCTTTCTCCACCTTTAAGACTTACTCAAATGATGTTTCTTCTTAGTTAAGACTTTCCTCAGGCTTCCCCACAAAGCCTGTCATGTCATTCTCTGTGAACACGACAGCACTTTGCCCCTACCTCTGCCATGGGCCTCATCCAGTTGTGCTGGGACTTTCTCTCTTTATCCTCCTGTCAAGTGTGTGGCCCCGACACAGACCTGGGGTGTGAGTGTGGCAAGCAAACTCCTTTCCCTACTGGCCCTGCACCTCTCTGAACCTCTGTTTCTCTATCTGTAAAATAAGGATAAATCTCTTTTCTTAAAAATAGGATTTAATCCTTTTATAAGAGATGAATAATTGTTTTTAGTATTAATCCAATGGGTTAATAATTATAAAGAGTGTAGAACAGCGCCTGGCAAGCTGTGAGTCCTCAGTGTTTATTAAATAAGGCCAAGTTAGAATAAATGAATACAGTTCTTTCTCCTCAGCAGCTGGCAGTGAGTGGTCCTCCATAAAATATTGGTGGGACCAATGGACCCAGCCATACTTCTTCCCAGATCTTCATGGCATGTATCCTGGAGAGAACTAGATTTATTTGACTCTTGTTTTCTTATTCTTCATCTTTTCTTTCTTTTTTTTAAGCTGCTTTGTTGAGGTATGATTGACATATAAAAAGCTGCACATATTAATGTATTATGTATGACCTGATGAGTTTGGAGGCAAACATACACCTGCGAAACCATCACCACCCCCAAGGCCATAGACCCTTCACCTTTCCAAGGAGCTCTTGCAGTGCCGACTAGTTTGTAGCATCTGACCAGTGCTAAGCACAGTGACCACACCTTCCTCCTGGCTCACCTTCCTCACTCGCTGCTCTGTCTCCTCTTCCTCTCCTCTAAAAGTCAGGGTGCCTCAAGTTCTGTCCTGGGTTTTCTCTCTCTTTTTCTAAGTGGCCTCATCAGTCTCAGGGGGTTTAAATACCATTTATACCCCTAAGGCTCACCAAGGCTTGTCTCCAGAGCACTTCTCTATTCAAAGGTCTAATGAAAATCTCAAACTCAAAACATTCAAAATGGAATTCTTTGTTTCCACCACTTTCTGCTCTGTCTCTACCAACCTGCTACTCTCAAAATGTGGACTCACCCTTGATGCCTCTCTCTCCACACCCACAGCCACTCATCAGTAAAGCCTGTCAGTTCTCCTACATGTATCCTGAGTCTGACCTATTCTTATCCAGTTCAAGCCTCATCTCTGGCCTAGCCTACTTCAGGAGCCTCCTGACTAGGGTCCCCCTTCTATCTCAGCTTTCTCTTAAGACAAGCCAGAACACTCCCTTTTAAATGTAAATTGATCATTCCCCTCACTGGTCTCACATCACACGTATAACAAAACCCAAATCCTGACCATGACCTGTGAGGCTCCCAGCACCCCTCTGATACAGTTCCCACAGGCTCTCCGCTCCATAGTTCCATTCTGTCCTACTCACTGTTCCCAAATAGGCAAGCATATGCTTGCCCCAAGACCTTTGAACTTGCTGTTCCTTTATTCTGAGATGTTGTTCCACATGTGTTCTTGTAGCTCCTACGCTCGCTTATTCCAGGGCTCTGCTCAAATGCCCCCTCTTTAGAGAGGCCTTCCTGACTACCCTATAGAAAGCACCACCTTGTTACTCCCTACCCTCTCAACTCTGTTTGTTTTCATAATATTTATCACTCGTTGGCATCATATGTTACTTATCTTGGTTTACTTGTTAACTGTCTATCTTCTCTACTAAAATGTGTTCTCTAAAAGAGCAGGGGCTTTGTTTTGTTTTTCAATGCTTACAGAACTACCAGGAATATATTAGGAGCTCAGTCAATATTCATTGTATGTAGGAGTGAATGACTGGCAAATTCCGGAAGGCAGTCTATCTGACTTTCCTATTCATCCCACCCCACCCCCAGATGCCTGGCCCCTGGCAGGGTGCACCAAAGATACGTGCCTGATTTCTGAACAGGCAATAAATAAATGCTCTTTGAGCAAATGAGTAACCAAGTTCCTGCGGTGTGCTGGAGCTGTGAAGAGGAACAGTCCTCCTTTGAAAAGCTGGTTCTCTGAGGAAGAAAGATTAGGGTCTGATTGTGCCCTGTCTCCCCCCAGTCCTGGCCCAAAGCTGTTACTTGCTACTAGAAGTACATGCAAGTGCTACACGTGACCTTGGGGTAACTGCATATATGCAGAGGAGTAGAGGCCTAGAGCCTGTTGGCTTATAGGACAGGACACTCTGCACATACTGGCTGGGAGCAGGGTGGTTACTACAGGCTCAGAGCAGCCAGGCTTTGAATTCCTATTTAATCCTAATTGTCTTATGAGGTAAACATCCCGAGAAAACTAAAACTCAGAACAAGTGGCTCACCTAAGGTCTCCCTGACAGTGACAGGGTTGATATTTGACTCTAGTTCGGCCTAATTCCAGATAATAAATTCCAGTGGACATTTTTCGAGGACTCCCTAAGTGCCAAGGTCTATTTAAGTTCCCTATATACATGTAGATCTCATTCAGTACTCATAATGTCTTTTAAGTTAAATACTGCTATCCTCATTTCACACATTAAAGCACTGAAACGCAGAGAGGTTAAGTAACTTGCTTAAGGTCACACAGCACTTTCCATCAGAACAGCCCCTTAAGTACTACCTCCAACAAGAAAAGGATTTAGATTACAAAGCATTCCTCTGGGGTAAATCTGCTCCAGAACACTAAAGAAGGGACCTCTAGAAAGCAAACAGTAAGCTGTAGATTGCACCCAGCGTTTCCACATGCCCTATCTTTATGCTCTGCTGCTTCATCCTCTTTCTCCAAGTCCTGGGTGATCCTTAGCCTGAGAAGGGAAGGCTGCTGCGGTCTCTTAGGCAGCAGGGCACAAAGTCCAGCCAGGCAGGGCCCAGTGTGGCACCCGCCCTGCAGGCACACAGAGGCATAAATAGATAATGACTCTTGTGATGACGAAGAGCAGAGGAAACATGGCGGTCTGAGGCCCTTTGTAGCCTGTGGGGCCTGAAGAGGAGGAACAGGAGCGAATCCTGGGTCTGAGTCAGACACCAAAGACCCTGAGATGATTCTTGCAAAAGAGACACAGTAGATACCTTACAGGGAGAAGGCAAAAGAAAGATATTACTTTCAGCCTATGGGCAGGAAAGTGAAATTCAAGCCTAAGTCTGGGGTGGGGGACAGGAGGTTGAGCAGCTTTAAAGTGTATTGCCTGAAATTTACACTCACCAAGTGTTCTTGAGGCTAAAATTTCTCCCCTTGCAACAGATGTACTGGTGAACAGTGTCTCACGCCCCCAAACTCCTGCTGAACTTCCAATTATCTCTCACTCCTGGGGGCAGGATCAGGCACCCAAGGCCTTGTTTTCAGGAGACTTCTGTCAGTATGAGCTGTCCCTCTTTATGCCCCTACCCAGGCTTGGTCCCACACTTAGCGCCTAGCCATGGGTAATTACTAGTGTAGGGTCTGCCTCCCACTCACACCACCAGCAATTTGAGGGCACACACTGAGTCTGGCACAGAGCAGGAGCTGAGAACATGCTCATTAAACAAATTACTAATCGTTGGCCCCTGCCCCAAGGCCCATTTGCCCCCACATCGGCTGGCTGTTTGGACTCCTCTGGGCCTCTGCTTGGGAAGGAAAATGTTAAGCATCCTGACCCTGCCTTTCTGAGCTCTGCCTCTAAGACCTAGAGAGAGTTTGACTTAGTGTAAAGATACTACCCCTGGGGGTTTTGGAAGAGCCTGTGGGTAACTCTAGGCACCCCAGACTTCACCCCCGGACCCTGAAGCATCCTAAGCCCTAGTGGGGAGGTCTGTTGGGTCTCCTCAATGGCACTCTGTGGCCTCAGGGACTGAGCAGATCCTGCACAGCTTTGGAAATAGTTCTGGAAATCCCCTGGGTAAAATTCAGCAGCTTCCAGTGGTGGTCTTTGAGGATCCCAGGCCACCAAAGAGGCCTCTCACTGGGAAACCAGGGTAGATGTGGCTCTGCCCCAAGCATCTGGCTGGCCAGAACCCAGCTCCTCACAGCCCCAGAACCTCCTCCTTTCCTCCCCACTGTGTCCTGCTCAGCAGCAGTTCCTCCTACTTCTAAGAAATGCCCTTATGCAGTTAGGGGCCTCCCTAAAAGGCTTCCAACTTATGTTTGGGGTCAAAGTGTGGAGAAAGACATATAGTTTCCCTTCTTTCAGTCCTCACCTCTCCGGATTCTGCCCTGACTCCCTCTACATGCTTCGACAGTCCTGCATTAGGGGCACTAGGAGAGAGGCGGATTTGCCACGGTGGGGCATTCAGAGAAGTGGCTGATCTCAGCCCAAGGCTGGAAGGTATTCCAACCTCAGAGGCTTCCCAGCCCCTGGACGGCAGAAGGAGAAGGGACACTTTCAGGAGATCTATCAGTTTAGCAGCCCCTACACTGGAGTCCCAGTGTCCCTTCCCTAATTTTACTGGGGATCCCTGCGGCCAGCCAAACGACCCTCGATGTCCCAGCTCACCAGAGCTATCAGGCAGGGCGGGAAAAGGGAAGGGGTTGCGCCATAATGTCCATCCCCGCCCAACCCTCCCAGGATTCGAGTGTCCCCTAAGCTTGGGGTGCTGCTCGCAGCTAACCTTGTGCCGGAATTCTCGGGCCACCTTTCGGTCCATGGCTGGGCCAGACAGAGGCCGGGTCGTCCCACGACCGGCTTCTTCGGGTGCCGGTGCCTGCTGCCGGGAGCTGGCAAGAGCAGCAGCCGAGTCGGTCCCGAGCCTCCTTCGAAGCTGGAGGAGGAGCCTGGGCGCTTCGGGGGCGGGGCCTGGGCGGGGCCTGGGCGTGGCGTGGCGGGGCCGCTGCGGGCTGGGCTGCTGGGCGGCTGTAGACACCTGAGGCGAATCTTTGCCTCCCACTGAGGTGATAGGAGCAAACGGGCCCTATGCTGGTGGTGGTATTTGGGTTCAAGGCTAATGTTCCCCTTGAAGTAGTACCCAAACACATGCAGTTGAGGAGGAGGATTGTGCAGACGTGGGGAGGAGATTTCAACCAACTTCTGCTCTCACCTTCCTTGGCCCCCTCTCTACCCTCCACAAAACAGAGAAAAAGAAAAATCAAACCCAGCCCACTCCCAAAACACACATCCACCGAAGCCTGGAAGATCCTGGCAGTAACATCTTGATCTACAGCTGACCTTTATCCAGGGCCCCGACACTCTGATTCATTTGATTCAATTCAGCTTACGTTTGTTTAACTCCCAGGTCTAGTGCTGGGTGTAAAGACAATGATGAACCAGGCCTGGGCCAGACTGAGAGTTTCCCAGTCAAGAGAGGGATGATAAAAATGTGTGAATGACGGAGGTGCTTTAACTATGAAGCTTGTGGTTGCCTGAACTTAACCCAAGGTAGGCACCTGACCCCTTTGCACCATGTCATGTACAGGGCCAAGGAGATGGACAGCAGCACACATTGGGTAACCACATGCTTCAGGGGCACCTAAAGACTCTCTCTCTCTCTGCTTCCCTCCCCCAATAGCTGAAGTTTTGAAAGCAGGCTGTTTTTATTTGGGGCAAATTATTGCTTAGTTTAAGATGTAAGTCTCTCCTGGAGAAGAACCTTAAAATATTATCTGTGTTTTCATCATAGGACTAACATTAAGTCAAGGAAAAGACCTGTGGGATTTTCAATAGCCCAGAAAAGATCACACTATATATTCCCCTCCAACTTACTTCGTCGATTCTCTACATTATAAAATATATTATATTGCTGTTTATTTCATATTTAGAATTTGGGAAGGTAAGAGTGAATGTCCTTAGCCAGGGGAAAGCAGTCCACTGGCCACCCCAATCCTTTCTCAACATCCACCTGCCAGAGACTCCCTTCATCTTAAAATGCTCCCTTCCTGGTTTTGAGGACAGGACTGAGTCCTGGTTCTTCTCTCCTATGAATGTCCTTTTGTAAGCTTCCTTGGAGACACCAAGCCTTTACCCATTCCTTAACAAGGGCTCTTTAAGGCTCCATCTTTGGCTTTCTCCTCTTCACCTTTCCATCTATGCCCAAGGCTTCCTCCTGTGTAAGGATAGCTATGTGTGCTTTATTTACTACTATATGCGTAGAATGGTGGTGGCCTGGAATTGATGCTAAACACATTTGTTGGATGGATGAATGAATGAATGAATGCATCCCATATCTCTACCCCATGGCCCAGCCATGGACCAAAAGGTGGCCCCAAAATTCTGGCACAAGGTTAGCTACGATGGGCACCCCAGGCTTCAGGGACACTGGAATCCTGAGAGGGGTGGATATGGGGTGGACTATCCCCAGTAAAAAGATGAGGGGTCTACTGAGGCCAACATCATTACCATCGTCACTACCATCATCATAATAACCGGCAAGAACTGGCATCTAATTGCTGTCCCATAAGTGTTGGCCAAGTGAATGATACATGGGTTCCCAAGCCTCTCAATGCCACCTATTTAAAAATTCCTCCCAGGCAGACAGTGTACCTTTTTTCACAAAATTAAAGTTGTTTTTGTCAAAGTGTGTTCTTGATGAGGACAATAACATAGGAGTATGAGGCACTTCTGTCATTCAGTAAACATTTCCTGAGCTGGGCTCTGAGCCAGTGCTGGGCATACAGAGGACTAAAGCATGAGCCATTCTCTAGAGGTGTTCAAAACTGCGCATTGGGGGACCCAAGTGGAACTGTAGTGGATGAAAGGGGTTCAGCAGTGTATCCAGAAACAAGACCAGAACAGGTTTAGGTTAAGTTCAATGAAAGGGGACTGAGACTCCGCCTGGGCAAAGTTGGCAGCTTCACCGAGAATGACTGGGGCTTGTTTTTACAGTGGGCATGGGAGGAGGGAGATTCCGCAGGTTGCTGGAAGGCTTTGGTGGGCAAGGTCTTTCTGGCAGAACTCTTGGGGCAGGGCCAGGTAGGCCTTTTGTTGTGGGAGGGGAGGTGGGAGAAGGGTGTAGCCAGGAGTGGTGTAAACACAGGCTAGGTCTCCACAGTTCAGAGCCCTGGCTCTGTTATTGCCTGCTGACCACTGAGTGACATGTCTCAGGGCTTTGGTCTGGCTCTCTGAAAAAGGAGAGGGTAGGGCCAGACTCACCAGCATTTTTGGTTTCTGGTGTAAAGGACTTCTAGGACCCAGGTAAGGGGAGCTGGGGCCTGCACAGGCTGCCTCTTTGCTCCCCCAGGGGACTTAGGGCTGGGAGATCTAAATCCAGCCTTCCCTGGGGAGGGGTAGCCACAGGCCAAGAAGAGCAAAAACTGAGCCAATGCCAGGTGCCTAAATTATGGTAATAACCTGGGCAGTCTTGTCACTCTAGCTAGGGGAGGAGCCAGGAGCCTGGGAGGAGGGTCCAAGGGAGCCCTGGGCCATGAGAACAAGGACCACAGCCTCTGGCATCTGAGTAGAGGTGTGACTCTGCTTTGGTCAGGAGAGGCACCTCGGCAGGCTGGCCCTGCGCTTAGGCTCCCCGGTCCCCGCGCACCCCTATGGGAGCCCAGGAGTCTGCGCTCTGTTGGCTGCTGGCTTGCGTCTGGCTGGCCCAGGGCGAGCTGGCAAGGGAGTCCCTGCGGGTACAGCGCCTCGGTGAGAGGGGTGTGGGCTAGGGAGGTGGGGGGCTGGAGGAAGGTTTAGGGGGACGGACTCAGACAGGTTGGAGAGAGGGAGGAAAGAGAAATGGTCTGCAAGAGGGCAGAGGGACGGAGGGGGGGTGGGGGGGAGACTAAGGAAAGGGACACAGAAGGCAAGAGAAGGAGGTCTTTGACCACGAGAGGAAAGAGTTCTGAGCTGGGCGGGGTGGAAGAGACCCAAGATACGGAAATACAGAAAAGGGGGTCCAAGGAGCGAGAGGGAAGAGGGAGACCCTTCTGGAAGAAGGGTCATCAGGGAGGGAGAAAGGATTTGAGCTGGCTGCAGGGAGAGAGAATGGGGAAATTCTGAGTGGTACGGGAGAGGCTTCCTAGCAGCCGGGAGAGGGGGTGGGAGACCCCAACAAAGAGAGGCCCAGCTTGAGTGGATAATCACACCCCTCCCCAGCCACAGCACCCACACCGCGGAGCAGTGCAGAGCTGCAGCCAGAGCCCACCAGGGAGCCCAGGTGAGTAGGTATGCACTTGTGGCTTGTCCTATCCCTTCCTTTCACCTTTATTCCTGAAGGTGACCCCAGGGATTTAGCATGTAGAGTGGGGCAGGTCAAGGGGAGGTGGAGAGGCACGACCCATTCCTAGCCCCTACCCATGCCTGACTTGTTTCTCCTCCAGCCGCAGCTACCAGGAGGTGACCCTTGTTGTAGGGGACGCTACAACAATGATGGAGGGCCAGGTAAGGGGAGGCCTAGGGAAGGAGGCTGTGTTGGGCGGGGCCTTACTTGTGTCTAGATATGAGGCTGGCAGGGGACATTAGGTTACAGGGGGGCTGTCTCTGGAGTTATACAGGGGTCAGGATGTGTCTGATGCAGGCACATTCACAAAGCAGTTCTAGTCCTACTTTCTTATCTTTTGGGGCTGTGTAGCTGGCTAACTTTATTTTACGAGAGGTGAACACCAAGGCCCTTTCAGGAGACAGCTGAGCACTCCCCTCTCCCTGGGAAAGTAGGAAGATGAAAGTTTAGGAGAGTGGAGTTCTGCGAAGGCTCTGACCCTGTCAGAGGCCCCTCTCCTACCCAGAGCAGAGCCCCAGCCATGCTATACCCAGAGGTGAGACGAAGACTGGGCCACCTGGTGGAGGTTGCAAGGAAAGATGGGTGGAAAAGCAGAGCTCTGAGCGCCTATCTTTTTATTTTATTTATTTTTATTATTTTGAGACAGAGTCTTACTTTGTTGCCCCCAGTAGAATGCTGTGGCCTTATAGCTCACAACAACCTTGAACTCCTGGGCTCAAGTAATTCTCTTGCCTCAGCCTCCCAAATAGCTGGGACTACAGTCACCTGCCACATGCCCAGCTATTTTTTAGAGATGGAGGTCTCAGTCTTGCTCAGGCTGGTCTCGAACTCCTGAGCTCAAGAAATCCATCTGTCTTGGTCTTCCAGAATGCTAGGATTACAGGTGTGAGTTACTGTGACACCCGTGGCTTACTCTCCAAGGATCCTTCATGCTCATGAAAAAGGTTGCAGTTTTTTTCTTCTTTTGCCAAACTTTGGTCTCTGGATTAGGCGACTTAGATTCTCTTTCTGCATTTTTTTTCTTTCTATAGGCACAGACTTGTTCCAAATTCCACCCACCTGCCATTGGGTGCCCAGAGCAGCTTGTGCCCCAGTGATCAACTCTGGGCAGCCCCTTGAGCCAGTAGGTTGAGGAGTATCCTTTAACATAGCAATGAGTCCCAACCATCTGCCATTGGAAATAAACAGGAAGGTCCCAAGGTGGGGCAGGCAGGATGCAGGGGGAACATACTTCTTCTCTAACATGAATTTTCTGGCTCTTTGACTTCTTGTTGACCAGTTCTTCCAGGTCCCAAGTTTTAGAATCACAGATATACTTTGAGTTGAAAGGTAACACAGTCATTCTTTTAACAAATAGGGAAACTGACCTAGGGGGGTGACTTACTGGGGCCCTAGGTGAAGCCAAGTCTCCTGGCAGAGCCAGGCCTGTCATGAATACCTACAGGACTCCAGGAATCCCTGCAGTTTAGTGGGGGAAATGATCCTCACCCAACACCTCATTCCCCAGCAGGCTTCCTTAATGGTTTACAGGGTAAGCATCCCCTGTTTTTCCTTGGGGAAGAATTGTCTAGAAGAGTTGATCTAGGCAGGTTTCTCACATGACTCCTTAGAA